CAGTTCTGGTTCCCAGTGGTGACCTTGGGCGTGTGCTGTAGTCATTTCATGTTTAGAGGATGGCGTTGAGGGGACTAGATAAGACCGTGCACGCAAAGCTCACCAAACCCTGTCTCTAAGGTCTCGTTTCCATTTGATGTGGACCATGTGCTGTCCATTCTCCCACACTGGACTCCTCGCCGCCACTCTGTGAGGGAAGGAGGTTAATGGATCAGACATAAACGTGGGTAGACTGAGGCTCAGTGAGGGGAAGGATCCTTAAAGATCCAGAGTTCTAGCAGAGTGGGAAATGGGTTCAAATTCTGGGTCCATCACTTATTAGCAGTGTGAACTTGAGCAACTTATTTTCTGTTCCTCAGTTTTCTCACCTTTAAAATGGGGACAATAATAGCACTTGTCTCACGGGCACTCATTAGGCTAGCTCTCCTATCCCCAGCCCCGGCCACCTCCTGCGCTGTGTGTCAGGAAGCTGAGGCCCAGAGATGGGAAGAGACTGGCCCAGAGTCACACAATAAGTTAGAGGCAGAGCTTGGCCAAAACCCGGGTCCCCCTGGCAGCCTCCCTAAGGCCCCATGCTACCGCGTGTTCCTGTAGCTCATGTAGCCCTCTCTGCTCACAAAGAACATTGAAACCTTGTATGGCCAGGTCTTTGGCCATTTTCTGTCTCCTAGTGTTCACGGGGAAAAGCAGAAAAGGAATTCTCATTCTCTCTAAGGCTCTCTCATTTCCTTTTCCTTTTTTTCTCCAGCTCTCACTTGCTCTGTCGCCTCTTTCTCTTCCGTTTGTTCCCTCTGGTAACTCAAAACCATCCGAATGGGTTTAAATAAACCTCTCCTCAAATAGTCTCCTTCAACGAGGAGAAGATGGAAAGTTCAGCCTGAAGGGAGAATTTCCCCGATGATTCTGGTGAGCGCTGGGGGTGGGGCAGGGTGACTGATGGTGGCGACCGAGGTGGCTTGGATGATGACAGGAGGCAGCAACCAAGGAGAGGGGATGCGGCTGGCCAGGGCTGAATAGTGAAAGACCCTGTTAAATGGCAAAAGTGTCACCTGGAGAGAGAACATCTTAACCCATTGATGCCAGTTAGTGACATCACATATATGAGTTTATCATTTACCCCCCACACTGTGTATGACAATACATACCTACAGTCCCCCGGCACCAGCACAGGCTGGGCAAGTGAGAAGGATAGTACTGGCTGCCGGCCATGTCTGAGTGCTTACCACGTGCCGGGCACTGTTTCAGGCGTTTCACATGTATGAATTCGTTACATCTCACAACAACCCAGTGAGGTCGGTGCAATTAAAAGCCCCATTTTACAGATAAGGAAAACTAAGCCCAAAGAAGTTAAGTAACTTGCTTAAGATCATACAACAAGCAAGCTACAGACACGGGTTTAAACTTGGCAGTCTGGCTTCAGAGCCCATGAATGTAACCACGCTGATATGCAGCTTGAACGCCATGGGCCTCTCCTTTAGGGAGCTGGATGTCTTGGAGGAGATGCCCTCTGACAGCAAGAAGCAACATTTCAGGGTAGTGAGTCAGGAAGCCGCACTCTAATTCTGAGCTGTGTGGCCCTGGGCAAGTTACGTGACCTCAGATGGAGCCATATGACCCTCCTTCACAGGGTGGTCGGGATGATCCACTGGATGTGAAAAGCTCAGCAACCTACGCAGAGCTGGGGGGAAGGGATCGTTATTAGTGACGTTTTATGTCCACCTGCCGTGACTCACCACATTCAGTCCCCTACCTTCCCATATATATGTGCCCATGCACCTGCCCCCACTTTGAACCTGTGCCCCCAAGCCAACAGTGCTCAGCCCCCAGCAACACCCCCGAAACTTTCCTCCTTGTGGGCGCTCGTGCACCTCTCCGTGCACACACATTCCCTGTGCGAACGCGCAGCCCTAGCCCTGCACACACGTGCCTAGCCCCGTGTGCTCAAACCCTTCTCTGAAATTCTATCTGCAGGAACCCTGTCTACAGGCTTCAGAAATGTGATTCTCGTGCAACCCGGCTAATCATTCTGTCATATGAGGGGGTGGGCATCTGTGTGGCATGGGGTGGTGTGGGGTGCAAAATACAGCGTGGAAGAGGCCGGGCAGGAAGGCAGCAGAGAGCTGGTCAGGCCCGGCCTTTCAAGCAATCTGTTTAGCCCTGCAGCTAAGGAGCCCATTAGCAGCAGCTTCTTGTTTCAGATTTCCCAGCATGCCATGGCCCGCAGACTGCACACTGTTTATTTGGAGAAGCCGAGAAAAATAGTTTGTATAATTAGAGCGGGGACAAGAGCTGCCCTTGAAGGGGGTCTCCCAGGGGACTGGGTTTGCAGCAGACGCCAGCTCCAAGGTCCCGCCACCCACCGGAGGAGCACCCGGCCAGGGCCCAAGAACAACAGAGGCCGGCAGGCCGGCTGGGCTGTGGGCCCCCCCCCCATGGCCTCTCTGGCCCCTTCTCTTGGCAGTAATTGATTGTATAGACCACCATTGTTCCGCCAGGGCCCGCCCAGGGCCAGGCAGAAAGGAGACACGGCCAAGGTGCCATGAAGCCTCCATGGGGTGCAAAGAGCCCAAGCTTTGGATTTAGATCTTTGCTTTATTGGGCCTCAGTTTCCTCACCTGGAAAATGGGGTAATGTGCCTATTGGAACAGTGGTGGCTAGCAGGAGAAGCTCTGTGTCAGGATCCAGCAGGGTGCCACGGTGTCTCGCAGATGCCTTCTTTCCCACCCTTTCCTGGGGCAGCGCTTGAGTCTTTGTTTCTTTTGCATCCAGATAATTGCTTTCTGAATAATTAGCTTTAATTCTGCCCACCTGACACTTTTCAACGCACTCTAACACAGTATCACTAAATGCAGACAGCGGGCACACTGAAAGCCGGACTTAAGCATCATCCAAGGCATCCATGTAACAAAAACATTGCTACCCCCTTTATATTTTGAAATTTAAAAAAAATGTGCTTCCTTCTCTAAGCAGCCTGTCCTTTCTCCTATGACAGTTGATTGTCAGAAGTTCTGATTGGATCTAAATTTGTCCTTATGAAAAAACTGCCCCCTTCCCTTCCCCATGCCCATCTCTGAGTTCTACTCCTCATCCCTGGGCCGGCCGCTCTCGATGTGAGTCCTAGAGCTCTGAGCCAGGGATTGACGAAAGGGGCAGATCTCCACTGAATAGTGGTTCCAGCTAAGGCCCCACGCTTCAGGCCAGGCTGAACGCCCTGTTCTGTGGCCAGCCTCGGCGTCACACTGCCTCACTCTCTCTCCCCAGACATGTAGTCTTCAAGTCCTGATCGCCATCCGGGCCACCTCCTTCCCTGGCCCTGTCTGGTTGGCGGTGGGGATGAGGAGCAATTATCTTCTTAGCTCCTAGGGCAGGAGCTGAGGTTTCCATTTGGGCCTCACTTTTGCCATCTGTGAAATGGGAGGTTTGACTAAATAAACTTTGAGACATGCCACCATCTCAGCATTACTATCCCACAATAGTTTGGTTTGGTGGGTAGCATAGGGAGGTACTAGGGACTCCAGGTCACAAGGTAGCAAGGGGCAGAGGGAGGGTTCTGCCCTAGCGTCCAGGTTAGGTTGACTCTAGCGCTTACATGAGTCCCAGAGAGAAACACACACAAAACAAAGGAAAGTCAGGAAAACCAGCTCTCTGGCTGAGGGGAAGCAGCATTCATTCATTCATCCATCTGTTTCGTCTTTCCATTTGTTTGTTTTTATAATGAAATATTTCAGGCATACAAAAAGGTTTTTAGAATGATGCAACAACCCCTTCTAGCCATCATTCAACTGTAGAAATAAAACATTACAAGTATCGTTGGAGGCCTCTGTGTTCCCTCTCTGGTTCTATTCCCCTCTTCCCTCTGCAACGTAGCGGCGCTCCCGACTCTGCTAGTTGAAAGCTTTGTACTGATGGCATTCTCTGTGTGCTTTGCAACGTGCTTCACCACTCTGCATTATGTCTGCAGAGTGTCCTGCTAACACATGTATCTGGAGTTCATCCATTGTCACTACTGCATGGTATTCCATTGCAGAAGTACAGCATGTCTGGTCTCCCAAGCGTGAACATTTAGGTAGCTTTGCATATTTTATGAACAGGAAGAGTGCTGCTATGAACTTTTTTGTACACATGTGTGAGTATTTCTCTGGGGTTTTGCTGGGCCTGAGGGTGTGTGTGCATGGGCTCGTGTTCACCCTTACAGGATATTGCTGAGTTACCCTATTCACTCATATCTTCATAGGGCAAATGTTTTGTTTGTTTTTATTTGTATTTGTATTTGTATTTTTTTTGAGACAGAGTCTCACTCTTCTGCCCGGGCTAGAGTGCCGTGGCGTCAGCCTAGCTCACAGCAACCTCAAACTACTAGGCTCAAGCTGATCCTCCTGCCTCAGCCTCCCGAGTAGCTGGGACTACAGGCATGCACCACCATGCCCTGCTAATTTTTTCTATATAGTTTTAGTTGGCCAATTAATTTCTTTCTATTTTTAGTAGAGACGGGCTCTCACTCTTGCTCAGGCTGCTTTCGAACTCCTGACCTTGAGTGATCCTCTCGCCTCGGCCTCCCAGAGTGCTAGGATCACAGGCGTGAGCCACCGTGCCCGGCCCCATAGGGCAAATGTTTATTGAGCACTTACTATGTGACAGGTCCTGGTGTGGCAGCAGAGCCAGAAGAGCATCTCATTGAAAGTGAGAAGCAGAGGTTAAGGGTTAGGCTCAATCAGAAGGAACTCGGGAGATATAAGTAGGCAATTTCCAAGAATTCGTGGAGAACTCTGTGGAAAGAGCTTTCAGGTGGTATGTGGCATCTTACTTTGGGATGGATGGGGGAGGGGGCAGACCTCTCCTAGCCAGCTCCCTGTGGGACGCAATCATGAGAGCTTGGAGCTGGCAGTCAGCAGGTCCGGGTGTCAGTCCTGGGTCTGCCTCAGATTCATTGCGTGATGTTGGCCAGGTGCCTTCTTCTCTCTGGCCTCAGTTTCTCCTCAATACAAGGCAGGGAGGCAAAATGATGCTTTAATTTTTATTGCCTACAGGCAAAACAAACAAAAAAAAATGTGTCACATTGCCCTCCAGAGCCATGACTTTCTTCTCTTTAACGTGGGCTTGCCAATCCCTGCAAGGCCACCAAGCCGGCCAGGAATACTCCAAAGGGTCCAGAGTTAGCCTGTGAAGTGTCACGCTCTCTTAGGTGCAGTCCTGTCAGGAGGCAAAGACGACCTTGAGTTTCCGGCAGCTTCCGTCTAACTCCTCCCATTCCTGCCCCGCATCCTGCCCAGACTCTGCTCCCGCTCCATGCCAGCCATCTTTGCACACAAGGTATAAATACAAAAAAATAAATAAACCGAGAGTGAGCCCCAGGGCTGAAGCAAATCGCTGGCAAGCGTGGCCGCTGATTAGCATGCATAGTGGACGTGCAACTGGGCGTATCACAGAGAACTGCATTTGCCCGCAGGACGGAGCTGTGGGCACCAGCTGGGCTGGGAGGGGCGCAGAGGGAGGGAGGTGCAGAGACGGTGCGGTGCTCGGTGCTCGTGCTCGGTGCTCGGGGTGGACCCGCGGAGCGCACCAGCCGGGCGGGCGGCCCCCAGCTTGCTCGCTCAGGCTGCCCTAGCCCCGCCACGTGCTCCCCCAACCTGAGCAGGGGTTTCCCTTCAGCAGGCTGGAGCCTGGGGCCTGCTTGGGGGAGATGTGGAGATTTGGGGCGTGGAGCCAGGTGATGAGGGCCAGATAGGCCCGGGGTGCAAGTGCGTGCATCACCCTAAGCCTCCATTTTTCATCTGTGAAAGGGGAAGAATAATAGCAAATACCTTGTAGCGTTCCGAGGGCTCAATGAGTTCAGAAGAATGCCTAACAGTGATGAGCACGGACCAGGAAAAGTAAGGAGTGAGAGGAACATCTGGGAGGGATCCAGAGAAAGAAGGAAAAACGCAAGAAGAGCTCGTGCATATGGGAAGTCGTGTGAAGTACTTCCTGTCTACATGACTCCATTTTAACTCCTCAGCCGTCCTTTGCAGATGAGGAACCTGGGGCACTGGGAGGTGACAACTTGCCCAGGGTCACACAGCCAGGTGCTAGCAGACCTGGTCTTTAAGCCCAGGCCATTTGACTTTAACTGGGCTCGCCAGATAAAATACAGGACCTCCGAGTTCAATATGAATTTCAGATAAACAATGAATACATTTGTGGTACTTATACTAAAAAGGACATAGTTACGCTAACAAATATTCATTGTTTTTCTGAAATTCCAGTTTAGCATGCTGTCTTTCATTTACTTAATCTGGCAACCCTAACTCCAGTGGCTGCACTTTTAAACAGTACCTTAAACACTTCCCCACCTCTAGCCCTGTGAGGAGGAGGGTAAGGACCCTTCCTCGCCCGGCCCCAGCTCTCTCTCCCAGCCACCCGCAGTCCCGTGCTTGCTGACTGCACCTGGGAAGCCCATAACCGACCTCCCGGAGGCTGGTTTTACTGGAGGGAGGATTGGGTCCCAGACCTCGGTGGAGCTCTGAGCAGTCTGGGGGTCACTGAAAAGCAAGTGCCAGAAGAACAGGTTGTCCCTCAGTGGCCTCAGGGGCCCAAACCCCAGAAGCCCGAGTCTCAAGTACAAAGGATGGATCAGTGGACAGGGTGTGCTCACTGTAGAGTGGGCAAACCTGGGTTTGAATCTTGGAATAGTCATTTACTTGCTGTGTGATCCTAGGCAAGTTACTTCACCTCTCTGAGCCTCACTTTCATCATCTATAAAACAACAATAATAGCACTTTCACTCACAGGATTATTGTGAGGAGTAAAAGAGGTAAGGCATAGCACATTACCAGCGCTCAGTGCCTGTGGCCTATTGTCACCAAACCCCTTGGAGCAGGTCCGTCCCCCACCTCCCCTTACCCTGGATCCTCTTCCCTGGTACTACAGGCTTGAGATTTTTTGGGGGGTGGAGAGAGGGAGATCAGGCAGCTGATGAGGGTCGGGCCTCTGGGTCATTTCCTCTGCAGCTGCCATGCCTGGCATGTGAGGACACCTGCTCGCAGCCCCCATCCTGCCAGCCACGGCTCCTGAATAACTCACAAAATTTCCAATCCTCAGGCCATCCCCTTTGACTGAATGGGGGTTCTGGAGGATAGTTTCGCCTCTGAACTCTGCTCTAGCCATGGCGGAGATCAGCTGGGGATGGCGGTGGCCTAGGGTTGGGGACAGGGCAGGCAGGGCCAAGGTGGAAGGAAGGAGCAAAGGATGTAGCTTTTCGGCTCCACTTCCCTCAGGGCTCCCTGTCCCTCCGGTTGCCTATCTCTAACTTGAGAAACTTGGGAAAACTTGGGGAAAGCTGCGGCCTTGTCTCTCTAGCCGCTTTGGTTTCCTGGCCCTGTCTCCCCACCTGTGAAGTACAATCCCCACATCATAGGGAGAGTGTGAGCAAAATAGGGAGAGGGTGGATGAGAAACTCCCTTTTCAGAGGGAAAATGCGAGCATTGTGCTCGCACCCGGGCCTTTGTTTCACCATCTGTAAAATGGAAAGCGGAAGGCCCGCCTTCTGGGGCGGTTGGGAGGATTAAGCAAGATGTCCCTTGGCCTCCTCAGGCTGTGCCGTCTGCACAGAGCGCCCCTTCCCACCCTCAGTCCGCCCTGCCAGGCTCGCACCCCAACCCAACCACCCCTGTCCGCACTCCCGCCCCAACATACCGTCATGGCCCTTTTCCTCATCCGTCTCCCCACTAGGCAGCCTGGTCGCATCTCCATCCTCCTTTCCCCTGCCCAGCACGGGGCCTGGCACGGGTCTGCACTCAGTAAACATGTGCGCAACGAGTGAAAGTGCCTCGTAAACACCGCCGCGCCGTCCAGATTTGAGGGGTTAGCGGGGCGTCCCCCTGAAACCCAAGATTCTTCCTATCACCGTGCGCGTCGCCACAGAGCCGCATTTCCCACGACAGGCCTCTCCTCCCGTCTGCGGCCTTTACCCATGGAACGGAGGCGGCAGGGCCTAGGACGTCACTGCGGCGGGCTGGGCGGGCACCTGGCGCGTCCCGGGCCAGCGGGGCACTCGCTCCAGCCTGACTCCCGGCTCTGCCCTGCTGTTCTGCCCCAGCGAGCCCGCTGCGTTCAGTCGCAGACACCTCATTATCCCGGCCATGCAGCCAAGCTGGAGGCGGTTCAGAGACAGCAGCAGAGCGACTAGGACGCCTGGCGCTGGGCTGGCGGCAGGGGAAGGGAGCAGTCCCAGGGCCCAGTCCCAGGGCCCAGGCCCAGGAGCTTGGCTCAACAGGGCCCCGCAGGGAACGTGAGAAGCCTGGCATCTGTGTGCCAGCGCCCGCCTGGAGAACGGAGTCCCCGGCCATGGAAGAAATGAGCTGGCCGGAAGACAGGGGGGCTTAGAGGGACGAGGTTCCTGCCCACCTGGGGCCAGGGGGCCCAGGCATCACCCTTTCCAACCTTCAGATGCCATTCCACCTGTTGCCACCTCTGCCACCACTGCTGCGACCGAGAGGCCAGGTCCTTGGAGTGGGAGGCAAAGGCAAGAGGCTGGCCCCACAGGGGGGCCCGGCTGTGCCCACTGAGGTCCGCAGTCTGTGCAGGGTGTTTCTGGGCCATCCAGGACGCCCCGCTGTGTAGGGTGGAAGGGAACTTTGGTGGCGGCTGAGGGTCCCCACCCCTCTCATCTTATTGATATAGACGCTGGCCTGGGGACGGAAAGGGCTGGGCCAACATGGCCCGAGTCAGTGGTGCAGCCTGGACTGGAACCTGGGACCTCTGGACTCCAAGTTTTGGCCTCTTTGCACTACACTTTTCTCTCCCCAGAACCAAGCGAGCTGCTGCCCAGGCTGTATGTACCCTGCCATCGGCCCAGGACACATGCCCCTCTTCGGGGGTGCCCTCGCCCCTTATCCACACGCACATAAATCCACTTGTGCCAGGTGTCATGTGACTTGGGCTTTCCACGACACCTTCCAAAGGGCGTGGGCATGGGACGCAGACCAAGCCCAAGCCCTCTCGCTCATGCTCTGTGCTCTTGCCTCTAAGCCTTTGCCCTTGCTGGCTCCTCCGCCTGGAATGTTCTGCTCTGGAATTTGTCCCAGCTGGCTTCATCTCGTCACCAACGTCATCAGCAATGTTCCAATGTCACTCTTCTCAGAAGGCTTCCCTGACCACAGGTCATGCCCCAGCTCATCGCACTGTTTTATGTTCTTTGCAGCACTGAGCACGCTTTTAAATCAGCTTGTTTGTTTATTGTCTTTCCCACCCTCCAAACTGGAAGCTCATTAAGGGCAGGAACCACATCTGGCTGCTTTTGTGCTCTAACCTCAGCACCTAGAATGGTGCCTGGCATACTTGCATAGATGCGTGCGCGCGCACACACACACACACACACACACACACACACACTGTGTCAAATAAATTAATAAATAAAGCAAAGTTTTCCTTCCAGAAAAAAGGTCCAGCCTGGGCAGAGAGAACTGAAGCCCAGGCCTGACCTGGAGAGGTCCCTGGGCTATTTCAGTCTTCGAAAATTACTTATTTATTACCAGGCACTGTTCTAGGCTCTGGAGACACAGCAGTGAGCAAAGGATAGATCTCTACCTTTGTAGAGCTCACATTCCAGTGGGAGGCGATCACAAGGAATGAGGCAAATAAGCCACAGTGCATGTTAGAAGGTGATGAGCGCACTAAGAAAAGTCGAGTGGTAAGGGGGCTGGGAGTGTTGGGGCTGGGGTCCCACCCCCACACTACTTGTAGTAGGAGAGTTACATGTGGAAATTTAAATATAGGGGCCATTTCAGTGGAAACTTCGAGGCACTGAGAGAGCCAGCTGAGGGTGTCAGGGGAAGAGAGCTTCGGGCAAAGGAAAGGGCAAGCACCAAAGCCTTGAGCTTGCAATGTGTCTGAGGTCTGGTGGCTGCAGCGGAGTGTTGGGAGGCGAGAGCTGTGGCAAGGGGATATATAATCACAGGGCAGGCGACCCTCCTGTCACTTTCCCGTGCTTGAGAGCCAAGGATCCAAGACTGCAGAGCACTGGGAAATGCCTTCAAGGAGTGTCGCAGACCCCAAACTCTTCCTCCATTCCTGAGTCTGGGATCCGAGCCTGGGCCAGCTCCCTCGGATGTCCTGGCTACGACCCTTACATTTGAGTGGCTCTTTGTGGCTTGCACTGTGTTCCTTAATCCTGTCACAGTTTCCTCCCTCCCCCCACCTACTGAAAAAGGAGAAAGGGTGACATTAACCCATTTGACAGATTAAAAAAATGAGGTGCACAGTAGGCCACCAGTCAGTGTTTACAAAGCCCTTCTCACTGAATGTTCACAAGGACCTTGGAGTTCCAGACTCTTCTGACAGATGAGAAAAGGGAGACTCAGAGAGGTTAAGTCACACAGCTAGGTCATGGCAGAGCTGGAATTGACATTGGGATCTTTCTACCTCTGCTGGCTCATGTCTGCCATGCTATCACCCAGCCTCTGAGGAAGGAGTGGCACGCTGGGAGGTGAAACCAGGACACAGCTCAGTCATTTACACCCAGGAGGTGCTAATTAAGCCCCATGGCATAATGGAAGGAATGTGGACTTTAGATCTGACACACCAGGATTAGAGTCCCAGAGTTGCTGTGTGACCTTGGGCCAGTTGCTTCCCTTCTGCGACGTTCATATGCTCCTGTCTAAAGCAGACTGAAAATCCCTACTCTGTGCAGTTGATGTATGGATTCGGTGGAATCCCAAGTGTGGGTCCTTGTTTATATGTGTCATCGCGTGAAAAGGCAGAGACTGGCGGCAGTCCCGCTGGCCCTCTCTATCCCCATTGAGGCTGGGCCTGGACGAAAGTCCCAGCGAGTGTGGTAAATCTGTCAGTGCCAGATCTCAGACCTGGCCCTGAGAAGCTTCTGGGACTAGGACAACAGCAAAGCCATTCCTCTGCCGGGCCTACTCTTAACTGGGACCTCAGGAATAAAAGGGGAGCTGGATGTGCAGGGTCTGGGGCTGAGCCCAGCCCCTCTCCCTGTGACTCTTCACACCCTCCCCCTGCCAGGCCTGAGGAGGAAGCAGGGCCTGCCCCTCCCCCCACCAGAGCCCCACCCCCACCCCAAGAGCTCTGGGCTGTTTAATGGGGTGGAGCTGTCTTTAATCTGCTCCATAAATGTTTTCTGGAGCCTCATTAGAAACCATTATGTCCTATTAATATGCTGATGAGGTTTCCTTGGTGCTGGGGAAGGAAGAATAGCTGGGAGCAGGAGGGGTGGGGGCAGGGTGACAGAATCCACCATGGGGATCCCAGGGGACGGGAGCGGAGCTGAGCTGGTGGTGTCTCCCCTACTCCTTGGGAAACTCAGGAAGACTCAGTCCCAGGCCCATGTTCCCTCCGCACAGGCTCCCGGGGGTCTGAGTCAGCCGCTGTGGGGACTGGCAGGTAGGTGAACACACACTCCTCCACACCCCGCCCCTGAATACCACCTTGGGGCCTCACCCTGGTGACCAAGGTTAGTCACCAAAGCCTACACTTACTCCTCATTCGTTCCTACCACTGGCATCTGCACCGGCCACACTGGGCCTAGCACCCGGGTAGGCCGCAGGCACACGGACTTCAGTGAGATACAACATGGCACTTTGGGACGATGGAAAGAAGCAAGGTGTGTAATGTGGCAGCAGACAAATGTGTAGGCGATTCAAGTCCTGCCTTGTGACATCGAGGTGTTCTGACATAACAAAGGAGGGAGGGGCCGGGTGCGAGGATGCAATGCCATGGATATTTACAGGGCGGCGTCTGCGCCAGGCCTTCATGTGTGCTGTGCCCTCGGCCGGGAATGCTTCCCCGCATCTCAGCCTGTGAAAGTCCTGACACCCCTTGAGCCCAGCCCGCTGGTCCTTCCGGCTACCCCCACCCCCTGCCTGGCCCTGCAGCCTCCTGCAGTGGGCCTGGATTTGGAGGGACTGGCGTCTGCGGCTCGCTTCCCTAAAGGAGGCTGTGCGCCCGGGCGGCTCTGATGGCATTCACGGACGCGCATCTGCACACTCCTTGCCACTCTATGGGCCAGAAGACCCTTGACTTCCTGCCCAGCAAGAGCCCTATTCCCTCACCTCCTTCAAAGTTCCTTGGCTGCGGCTGGCTCCGGCCTCCTGGCTCAGACCCTCCAGTCCTGGCTTCTCAAAGTCATTCAGATTGGGACCCCTGATTCAGCCAGCCCTGGCTGCCCAGGTAGGTGGCTGGTCCCACTTCGCAGGGCTCCCTGTCTAACCCTCCTCCCAGGGCTACCCCTGGGAGCACCCTGGCCTGAGCCTCTCTCATTCCCTTCCCCCATTCCCAGGAAAACTCCCCTTCCTGGCCTTTTGGCCTCTGTCCCCAGCTGGGGCACATTAGCCGTGGCGCCCCAGTCTGCAGGCTGCTCCCTCCATCCAGCTTCTAGTCAGCCGTCTGGGCTCAGATCTCCCCAGGACCAGTCAGTCACCCACTCGTCTGCATGTGACAAGTGGCAAGGACAAGTGGAACAGACAGCGTCCAAGTTCTGACCCTGCCACTTATTTGCTGGGTGACCGTAGGGAAGTCACTTAAGCTCTCTAAGCCTTGGTTTCTGTACAAGGGGAATAATATTATCTCTATCACACAGTTGTTATGCAGATTCAAGGAGATCATGTGTATAAGGCACAGTGCCTAGTACACAGTGAGTGCTTAATAAATGCCAGTTATTATTCCCCTGCCTTCTCAGAGGTTCATCCAGGTTAGCTCCAAGCCCACACTGTCACTGCCCAGTGGCGCCCTCGTCCCTGAGGGTGGGAGTGGGGACAGTACGAGGAGGGGCCTGAAGAGTGTGCAGGCGGTCAAGCAAAGGACGGGAGCTCCAGGCTGGAAGGCCAGTGCCAGAGGGCCCGGGAAGCGGGGATCGGGTGGAAGCAGAGCCCCGGAGGACAGCCAGGACCCGAGCACTCACCCCAGCACCGCATCCGGGGTCTGTCGTCAGCCGCATTGAATTGCTGGCTCCTGGGGCTTAGGTTTGGGGAGCCAGACTACCTGGTTTTGGTTTCCCACTTACTGGCTGTGTGACCTTGGGTACACCAATCAGCCTCTCTGTGCCTCAGTCTCCTCATCTGTAAAGTAGCAATCATATTTTCTACCTCATGGGGCTATTAATGCTGGTTAACTATCTTAGTATATGTTCCACTTAAAACAGGACTTGGCGTACAACTTCTGCTATAATTAGGATTATTTTAGCTATTACTATTTTGTGCCACCTGCCTCTCTCAGGTCTGTTGTAGGCTCTGGGCCCGGAGGGAGGGCCCTCGGGAGAGCCAGTCAAACTGAGGCTGACAGTGGAGAAGAACTGAGATTGGTGCAGCCAACCCCTGCCTTCCCATCAGCCCATGCTCCTCCGAGCTAGTCTCATCTCCAAGGGCCCTCTGCAATCTAGAGGCCTTCATTAAGTGCCCATAGTCCCATACTGGGCTATGAGCAGGCCCTGCCTTCAGGGATAAATCCAGACTCATGGACAGGGACAGAAAAGCAAGGAATCATAGATCCTTAGAGCTAAAACCCCAAATGTTCTAGAACTGTCCAGATTTCAACCATTCTGACCCATTGCTCTCATGAGCAGCCAGAATCACTTAGAAATTCCAGATAATCTGGCTCAAATCCCAACTCAAACACTTACTAGGGGTTTGACTCTGGGCAAGTGACCTGACCTGCTTTAGCCTCAATTTCCTCATCCATAAGACGCAAGTAACAGCAATCTCTCCCCATAGGGTCACTGTCAGGACAGAGGGTGGTTTGGCAATGGGATCCTCCCTGGATGGAGCTCAAGACATGGCAGGATCTGAGACTTGTTGGGGGAAGCAGGAAACCAGAGCCTGTTTAACATTAAATTTTTCTGAACTTCAGCCTCCTGGAAGCCAGAGCAAAGAAAGACAGGAGAGGGCAGGAGCTGAGCAAGGCAGGAGAGCAAATGGAGACTTGGGCGGTAGATGACTTTGGGAGGACCGTAGGAACACACAGGAAACCTCAAGGCCAAGGCCAGGGGAATAAAGCCAGGGGCCAGCCCTCCTTGAATCAGTCATTGGGATTCTCCAATGCTCAACTTGTCTCTAAGGAGCTACTCAGATCAGGAAATCATCCATCTAAAAACATGTATTAAGCACTTACTAAGCAGCAGACACCGAGGCTGGGAAAACAGAGGTTCATGCCACAAGCCTCGCCTTCTCATGAGTTAGTATCTGTAAGCGGAAGTGTCATGGGACACAGGCAGGGTGAGGGATGGGGGCTGTGTGGACCTTGATCTCAGCTCTGTCACTCATTTGCATAATGCAACCTTGTTTCTCTCTGAGCCTCAGCTTCCCCATCTGTACAATGGGAGAGAGTAGGGGACTAGATGCTTTATACGGGCCCATGAGTCTGAGTTGGTGAAGGGGTCTCAGTGGCCGTGAGAGGGGCTGAGCAGTGTGCCCAGACCCCAGGACCTCAGAGCAGCAGGGCTGGGAAACTCTTTCTGAGCCTAGAAGGTGCCTGCTGCCCCCAGGCTTCCTGGCCCTCCCATACCTCCCAGGGAGGCCCTTTGGGCTGGACTCCATGGGGTTAAGCCCATATGTGAAACCACCTTCTTGCCTTCCCTGCTATGTCACATGGGCTGTCCAGACGCCTGCTTGCCCACCAGGCCCGGAGCACTTAGGGTTTGGACCACAGAGGAGCAGCCCTGGAGAACTGATGTGCCTGTTTCCCTTATAGGCCCCAGACCCTCTCTGGTGACCAGAGGAGGCCAATTAGCAGAGAACAAAATGCTTCCTTCCCTGGGCCCTCGCCTACCACTGCCTGCATCTGCTCAGAGCTTAATGGTCATTTGAGCTGTCTCTGGGGACAGCGGATGGGGCTTCCACGGACTGCCTGGCTCCAGGCAGCAGGCTGGGTCCTGAGGGAGGCCCGAGGAGGAGGAGCAAGGTGCCTGCTGCTGCTGGCGCAGCCCAAGATGGCAGGAATACAGTGCACTTGGAGCCAAGGCCAGGACCCGGAGGCTGCTCCTGCCAGCTGCCTGGGAACTAACACTCCCCAGGGGCTCCTCTGCACCCCTGCAGGCCTGGCTAATGCCGGGCACAGGGGTGGGCCGGGAGAAAGCTGTGGGCCTCTAGAGCCTCCCAGTGGAGGGAGCTGCTGGGGTCTAGAGTCCTCGCTGGGCCCTGTGATCTTGTGGGTAGGACATGGTGAAAGGCCTTCATCCCAAAGTGTCCAGGCTGGTCTGGAAAACCAGTTTGTCTGTCCACCTGCCGTGGAAAAAAACACATGGCTGGAAGGGAGAGGAAGTGGGTTCTGGTCCGGGCCCTGGCGCTGCTCCGTGGCTTCTCCATCCCTGGGCCTCAGTTTTCCCACCTGTGAAGTCAGAATGGCCGAGCGCCTCACTGGGCCAGCAGGCACGGCCGGGAAGAGCGTCCTCAGGGAGCTCAGGCAGGTGGGAGGCTGGAGTGGAGGCGGCAGGGGGAGGTGGTGGAGAGAGGCTGAGTCTGGAGAGGTGATGTCACTTCCTCAGAGGGGTCTCCGCTGATGCCCCTCTCCCACCCGCCTCCATCGGAAACCCAGCCCTGCCACACATCAGGTGTGTGACCTTGGGCAAGTCACTGAATCCCTCTGCACCTCAGTCCACTGGGGATTAGGTCGACGTTACAGGTTACCCACGAGACAGTGTGTACGCATGAGGTCGCCTTTAGAAAGCACTTAGCAGTGCTTGGACAGAGCTAGGGTGAGAGGGACGGAGGGGGAAGTGCTGTCACACAGAGAAAACGCCTGCAGGAGCCCTCAAGCACAGCTGCCACCAGCCGCAGCCCCCACCCCTGCCCTGCCATGAATAATGAACTGGTATCGATCCCCTGGCCGGGAAATTCCCTCTGACCTGTGATAAAAATACACCGAGCCTGAGAGTCCACGAGCCTACAGCTCCAGACAGCTTCTCACCAGCCAGGCAGAGCTCACCTGCGCCTCCCCCTGCTTCCCCCAGCCTCCCCCAGCCTCCCCAGCCTCCCAGTCCTCCAGCCTCCCCCAGCCTCCTCCAGCCTCCCCAGCTCCCGCCCCAGCCTCCCAGCTCCTCAGCCTCCCCTCAGCCTCCCCAGCCTCCCCAGCCTCCCCCAGCCTCCTCCAGCCTCCTCCAGCCTCCCTTAGCCTCCCCCAGCTTCTTCCAGCCTCCCCCAGCCTCCCCCAGCCTCCTCCAGCCTCCCCCAGCCTCCCCCAGCCCCAGGAGGCAGAGCTCAGTAGGACGGGACACCAGAGACTGAGACCAGCTGGTGGCCACCACCTCCTCCACTCCATCTCCAGGGAGAGGGGACAAAGGAGCAAGATCATCTATGGCAGGAGTCCCCACGGCCAGGCCCCAGGAGTCAGGAGACAGAGCAGAGCTGGGTTTGAATCCTGCCTCCACCACTTGCTGCCAAGTGCCTCAGTTTTGTCAGCTGCAAAATGAAGATGTAATTCCTTCCTCATACAGTTAGTCCTGGATGCAAATGATTTAAAGTGATTTAAAGTATGTAAAGTGCCCAGCGCAGTGCCTGACCAGTGGGGGGCGCTCAATACACGATAGCTCAGGCCTTCCCACTTCTCCCTCCTGCCCCACTTGCTGTGAGACCCAGGACCCTTTCACAGGGGACTGACCCTTTGAGTGACTTTCTTAAAAGTAACAGCCTATTGAGATATAATTCACAAGCCATAAAATTCACCCTTTTGAAGTGCATAATTCAGTGGTTTTTTACTATATTCAATAGAGTTGTGCAACCATCACAATTATCTAATTTTAGAACATTTTCATCATCCCCAAAAGAAGCCCCGTACCCATGAGCAGTCACTCCCAATTCTCACCTTCTCCACTCCATGCCCCCGACAGCCACTAATCTACCTTCTATTCCTACGGATTTGCCTTGTCTAGATATTCCATAGAAGTAGCATCACACAATATGTGGCATTTGGTCTCTGGCTTCTTTCACTAGCATAATGTTTACAAGCTTTATCCATGGTGTACCGTGTAACAGTACTTCATTCTTTTTCATGGCTGAGTAATGTTTTGTCACATGGATAAACTACATCTTGTTGATGCATTCATCAGTTGACAGACATTTGGGTTGTATCCATTTTTTGGCTATTGTGAATAATGCTGCTATGAACCTTCATGTACAAGTTTTTCTGTGGACATATGTTTTCATTTCTCTTGGATATATATATATATATATATACACATA